CGGTCCTGGGGGCTAAATTTCTAATCCTCGTAGGTAGCATGAATCAGGGTGACTTCTCGAAGAATACTCCAAATGTGTGTATGTGCAGGAGCAAGTCATGGAAACACCCATAGAAATAACCAGGTAACTGATCATGGTAAACCAAAAATAAACTTTATTAACATAAACAACAATTGTTAAACTCAATGTGATATTCGTATATGATCAGTGAAAGGAAGCTGGTACATTAATCCAGAGATGGTCCGGTCCAGCTGTCCAGCACTAACTCTCATCACAGGAGTGGGTACAGGTTTTAAGCTGTGGTTCTCATGAATGATGTTCATACAAATACAAAGTCCAAACACTGCAGGCTTCTCTGAGCTGTAATTGGGTGCAGCTGCATATACTTCTGGGTTTATCTCTTCAAGGAATTACTAAGGCAACAAGCTTCAAGGGTCTCCTCTTTCTGAAGCTGGGAAGGTAGTGTTGACACACTACCTTTTCTGGCATGAGAAAGAGGAGATTCTCTATGGCAAGTTTAGGAGGCTGTCATAAAATGTCTTTAGGTGCCCTAATGTTGTATTAAATGACATTTCTTAAAGCAGACCTAGAATTTTTTTAATGCTATGTGCAAGCATGTTAATAATATGTAAATGTACAGATCACAATTCCCACCCCTAGAATGCCTTTCTCCTATCTTTGTTCAGGCATTATGCAGGGTCAGAATCTATTTCATGGACTGTCATTCTGGTTCTGGTTCAGAGATTAGACATACATTTAAATCCTGGTGTCTGTAAAGTTCTTGGCTATCTTCACAAATGGCTAGTGCAGATCAGCCCCTGCAGTAGACTTCTACCTTGTAACTTACTGTGAAGTTGCAATGTTGCAAAGTCATGGAACTGGAGCAAAAGGACTCCTTTTAATAATAAAAGGTACAACCTTTTTGATCATGTAAACTGTTGCTGTATATTGTGAGATGTCAGGTATGTATTCTTGCAGACCTTGGAAAGCTACTGTAGGTAAGCCGGTGGATGTGGTATATCTGGATTTCTCAAAGGCTTTTGATACGGTACCACACAAACGCTTGCTACACAAGCTGAGGGCTATGGGCATAGATGAGGTGGTGTGTACGTGGATAGAGAACTGGCTACGGGAACGTGTCCAGAGGGTATCTGTAAATGGCACCTTTTCAGACTGGGCTAGTGTAATGAGCGGTGTGCCTCAGGGTTCTGTGCTGGGTCCCATATTGTTCAACTTATTTATTAATGACATCGGGGAGGGTGTTAACAGCGATATTTCCGTGTTTGCGGATGACACCAAAATAGGGAGGGTAATAGACACGGACTTAGACACTATAACATTACAGGAGGACCTGGATAAAATAGGGGAGTGGGCATTAATGTGGCAGATGAGGTTTAATGTCGATAAATGCAAAGTAATGCACTTTGGAATTAAAAATAAACAAATGGGTTATACAATTATGGGTATGCCGCTGGGGAAGTCAGAAATGGAGAAGGATTTGGGGGTCATTGTAGACCACAAACTGAAAGGTAGTTTGCAGTGCCAGGCTGCTGTAAACAAAGCTAGCAGGGTCTTGTCCTGTATTAAAAAGGGGATGCATTGCAGGGACAAGTCTATAATTTTAGGGACCGTAATATACAGGGGTACAGGTACTCCTAGAATGAGATCCTAATAGGTTGGACTTGATGGACTAATGTCTTTATTCAACCTCAAATACTATGTAACTATGTAACTATGTAACTATGTACTGGAACATCTAATTTAACTGAATCTTTTCACAAAAAAATCTTTGTGTATTTTCTTTACCTCTTACGAGAGAGTATAAACATGTAATACATTTAACACTTACTAGTAAGGAATAAAACAATCTATTGGTAAAGGAATTTATAACAAGCAATATAAGCACACTGCAAGTTTCTGTCATATTAATGTAGCAAGGTGGTCATGCTTTAAAGCTGCCAATCTTCTTAGTAGCAGAGGACTAAAATACAAGATCCCCTGTTAAAGAAACGGTTTGAGAAAGTGAAACTGTCTATGCATATCAACCACACAGTGGAACAGGAATCCCTAATTTGAGTCTTGTTATTATTGCTTTGTTACATTATAATTTAATATCATTACATAACCATAAAACATGAACAAAGCACCACAACCTTCTCTTGTTATATTAATTATTCAGCTCACCATTTGAACTAAAAGGTTCCACTAAATAGATCTTTTTCTTCTGTCAACCCATATTTGAGATCTTTTTTAGTAAATGTATGTTTTGAAGAGGATAACACTACTCAAAACACATACTGTATACTGATGACTTCTTACTTTGGTAATGAATTGTGGTGTTGCAATCTGTGCATTTGCAGTAGACATTACAAAACTCAGCAAGCAGAGGTGAGAGAACTCATTTGACGGGATTGGAGGTTTGACGCAGATTGCAGTTTCATAAGATGAAGATTTGAAAATAATCAGTTGCTGCCAGAGGTTTAGCAGTGTTTTTTTTACATTTGGATCATGTTAAGCTTGCTACCTGAGGATGTATGTAGCCTTTCCATTTTTCATATGCTCTATGACTATGTCCAAATAATGGTCATAGTCATAGACCATAATTTGGACAAGATGGAACTGCATGGTTCTGAAATGTGGCTTGACAATGTGACACGAAGAGAGGTCAATAAACATTGACTGAAAATTAATCTGGAGTGCGAGTGACCTTTTCTACATTCATCTATTGATTCATGGAGGCATCTGTAGTCACTCTTTCCACCCACCTAACTCCAAAGGGTTTTTATTCGGTCAGGAGTGCGATGGGTTTCGTTTGAATATTGAACACCAAACAATGTTACCGCTAGCTATGATTTATGGTTATAGGATACACTAGTTAATTTTGGGACCCATGTACTGAGAGAGTCCTACTCTCCAGCTGTTTAGTTTTCAAAACTAAGATATGTCATCCATGAAATGATTATGCACATTCAAACAAACCACATTCCTTTCCTAAGAAAATTAAGGGAAACCTCCTAAACATTTTATCTTTAAAATACAAATGGACACCACATATACAAGAAAATAAACATTACTAAAATGGTAATTTTTAAACATGCAAAACAGTTGAATAATAAATAGAAAATTATAATGAGAACCAATATATAACCAATGGGTGTAAGATGGCTATACTTTTAATAATGATCAGTTATCATAGCATAATCATTTCATTTGTTCAGCCTCTATATACTGGTATGTTACAAAATGGGGGCAAGTAACAGATCTCCCTGCTGACAGAAAGGATCCAAGGGCATGTAAGCTTTATTTGGAAAGAATTCGAGTCTTATGGCTCTTATAAATTCATGGCTATGGCGGTTGTGCTGTGTGCATTACTGGTTTTCACAACATAGTACATCAATGGAAACTGGTTTACTTTTACAAGATAGTACTCTTATTCCACACATACCAGTCATTGTTAGCATATAACCTTGTAAGCCAATATGTTTTATGTTAAAAAAAACTGTATATGTATGTGTATATATATTATTTTTTTTATCTTTATTTGTAATTTTTTAAATGTATTTACATTTTAACATTATGTTTTCAGGTTTTTTTAAAAACTATTCTCAATGATTTGCTATTCTGCTTGGTACCACGGAGGTACCGAGCAGAATAGCTGAGCAGAATGCCGCCAAGCCCACATTTTTAAAAGGCACCCCCCAAAATTGTATAACTTCCACTTCCCTTACTTCCATGGCTATACCTTCCCTCTTACCACTGTGCCTGAACCACTTAGTACAGCCAGCTTGTGCATGCTTACTCCCACGCATACCCCATGTTCCCCTACACTGTCACCCCAACCTACAGGAAGTGTGCCTCCCCAACACACAATACTCTTAGCACTTTAATCTTGACCATTCTTAAATGGGCGCACTTTTGCTAGTATATAGTTATTTCTATTTTCTCTTTTCAATTATTCTAGTTTTTCCCTTTTTTTTTGTTTTTCTTTTCTACTGATAACTCATAACAAAAGTTTCTGTCCTGCTCCTCTGATAACAGTGTATAGCATAATTACTGGTGGATAAGCGTCTTTGTCAGTTTACTAGGCTATGTATGCGTAGATTTAGTCTACCAAGTCAGTGTAGGCAGCCATGGAATAAAGATTATATGGGAGTTGCATTGAGGCATTGAACAATCAACATTGCTAATTTATTCAGTTGGTGGACCCCTTTAAAACACATAAAAATTATTTCATCCTTGAAAAAAAAGTTGCCCTGATACTAAAGGTTAAATATACTGACTTCCTTTATGTTGAAGCATGTGACTTTACAACTTCTGCTCTATTAGATTTCAGTTATAAGAACCTACACTATATACTCATGACCTTGAACTAATGTCTTTCTATGTTATGTTTTGCAAGATTCTTTTTAATTAAGAAAACACAGGTGCTATTGAGAACATCAGGATCTGTTTGTATTCATACCATATTTAAATTTGTTTTGCCTTTCCACATCATAACATTTATTTGTGAAAGCTTTCTAATACATATATACCATTCATACAGCTAGAATTAATCTTTTCCTAGTAGTAGCAAGTCTTCTAATGTATTTAAGTCAATAAATAAACACTGTTTTAGTGTTTCTGAGCACTTTGTGACTAATATATATAATGTAGATATATTATTTCTTTCAGTTGCAAGCACAAACTTTATTTGGAAAAGCTACCAAATACCAGCATTATTATTCCATTTCACAATGAAAAGTGACTATTAGATAAAACTTACATAAAGTTTTATATATAAACATGTGCTTTTGAAGACATTAGAACATGTTTGTATTCACACCATATTTAAATTAGTTTTGCCTTTCCATATGATACAATTTATTTGTGAAAGCTTTCTAATATTTACCATTCAAAGCATAGCAGCCCATTTTATGTATTTAGTTAATACATAAACACTAGTTTAGTGTTTCTGAACACTTTGTGACTATTAGATATAATGTATATATCCTTTCTTTCAGCTGCAAGCACAAACTTTATTTGGAAAAGCTACCCAATACCAGCATTATTATTCCATTTCACAATGAAGGGTGGACATCTCTACTGAGGACCATGCACAGTGTGATTAACAGAACTCCAGACAATCTCATTGAAGAAATTATCTTGGTGGATGACTTCAGTGACAGAGGTAAGATGTTAATTTACATTTTGAAGCAGATTACTCTTTGTGTTGATGGAAAGAGACATTGTCAAATGTATTGTTATTGGTACATTGTCAAATTTGTGAAGCTAGCTGCATTTAGAAGGAAACTGGTTCAATAACTGTAACTAGCGATGTTCAGATACCAGTTCAGATACCAGTGCCTATATATATAAAAACTGGAAAAGTATCTGTACTTGGTATCTTAACATCCTTTACTGTAACATAGAGGGCAGTGAGTATGCTTCGCAACTGCTCAAATGTAATGATTTAAAATGACTCTGTTGCTTGCTTGAAATATCTTTAACAATGCCATACCTGCAAAGGAATACTTACCTGTACTGCTGATCATGCCACTGAAAACCACTTCAATGCTATATCCAGCTGTTGTTCCTTTTGAAACAAACAGTTCAAGGAGCTTCAAAAAACTTTAGCAATGGATAACTTAGCAGACAGAGCAGAGTCATGCTGCAGCCAGGAAAAATATTAGCAATTTTGCTGGGATCGACCCAGCTGCCTGTTTGACAGCTAGCTCTGCCTTTCTAGAACCAGAGCCAGCTGTGCCCATCACCTCCTCCCCTCACTTCTCCCTCCAGTGAGCACTGTAGGAACAGAAAGGGGAAGGGAGAATCGATTTGGTGACAGTCACTGCTCTCTGCAGGGAAAAGTCGTGAACTGAGCGAGCAGCGGTTTGTGATCGCTCAGTTCTCCAGCTATAGAGCCGGCATGTGTCAAACTATTGGGAAGACTATATTTTACTCTTCCAATAGAACTCCTTTAAATATATTTTGGGAGTCTCAAAAAGCCGGGGTTTTGCTTTAAGCAACACCTCACATTTTTATAATCTAATGCAGATGAAAAAAATCCATATTTTACTAAATGTCTATCTTTGCTTGATTGATTATTTGCTTGATTATTCCTCTGTCTTGTGTATTTGATAGCTTAACCAACAAAGGTGTGATACATTGTGATAAGAGCAAATTGTGCAGTAGATGTTAATCATAGTTCGGTGAGGTAATAAAAAACATATTTGAAAATGTATTGGACAAAGAGATTATGCATTTAAAAGATTTTGAAAGTTTTGAAACTCTTGACTACTAACAGGTTTAGTAGCCCATGAAATTCAATTGAAGAAACAGGCATATGACACTAAACTAACAACCCCTTTTTTCAGTCTTACTTTCACTTCCCAGTGATAGCAGTTATGCTGTGTAGTTAGATATTCACCAGAGTTACACTTTATATACTCAGTAACCAGGATGCCGGTATCATATCAGGTCTGACATATCATCTCTCTTTCTTTTCAACCCAAGTCTATGCAAGGACACTTGTGTTGTTACTACTCAGCAAAACCAGAACAGAGCACTGGAGTGGCAAGTAGCATTTTCACTGAAACAAAAAAGATACATTAAGGCATTTAAAATCAAAATTCAGTCACAATTAATTACCTGTTGGGATGCAGGACTCTAAAAAGATAAACATGTGAGACTTTAAATGAGGATAATATTTATCCACTGCATTAAACCAGTAGTAAAGGGTCATTTAAAAAAATTTTTTTATAGCAAAAGAAACTTTGTAAGTCTCCTACCTGCCTGTCAGCATTTTTTTCTGTGCATTGAGCCGCACATGCACAGCTCAGTGCACAGGCCTGAGATGCAGAGATGAAGTAACTATCATGCGACTATACAGGAGTTACATCATGCTGGCCAATCCAGAGGCCAAACAGGCCAAACCTGGAAGAAGACCGGGAGAAGATGGCAGCACCAGCAAGTGAAGGGAGAGTGGACAGTGCAGCATCAAATCATTTTCAAATAAGTTGCTCATAATGTGCCATCATGCTGTGCATACTAGAACATTCAGGAAAACACCTTTACAGCCTTTAAAAAAAAAAAAAAAACACTTTACTTCCACATTAATTAGCGTGAATGCAATCACTGGCAACTGAAGACAGGTATTGCACTCTGAAGCAGAACTACCACTACAGTTCTACCACTAACTCCAACCTGTAGAGGTACTACAAATCCCAGCAGTACATTATACAGCAATGCAGAATACCACCCACTATAGAGGACTACAAATCCAAGCAATATATTATACAGCAATGCAGAATAATATGAAGCTACATACTCATGTGCTGCTCATCAAGGCTGTGCATGGTCACCATGGCTGTGTGCAGTCTCAGTAGGATGTGCAGGGTTTCACAAGGGCTTTGCAGGGTCTCAGCGGGGTTGGGCAGGGTCTCACCGGGGCTGTACAAGGTCTCACCAGGGCAATGCAGGGTCTCCCCAGGGCAGTGCAGGGTCTCAGGAGGATGTGCAGGGTCTCACTAGGGCTGTGTGCACTCTCACAAGGGCTATGCAGGGTCTCACCAGGGCTGAGCATGGTCTCACCAGAGCTGTGTGCGGGGTCTCACCAGGGCTGTGCGGTCTTACCAGAGCTGTTTGTGGTCTCACCAGGGCTGTACATGTAGTCTCATCAGGGCCGCATGCAGATGTCACCAGGGCTGCATTCGGGTGTCACCAGGGCTGCATGTAGGTCTCACCAGGGCTGGGTTTGGGTCTCACCAGGGCTGTATGCAAGTCTCACCAGGACTGCATTTTGGTCTCACCAGCACTGTGTTTGGGTCTCAGCAGGGTTGCATGTGGGTCTAACCAGAGTTGCATATGGGTCTAACCAGAGCTGTGTTCGGTTGTCACCAGGGCTGCATGTGGACTTCAAAAATGCATTATCAAATAAAATATGCAGTCAGTGCATAGACATCATGAGACATGCAGCAAAGCAGCAAGGAAAGAGATGTGCACTGGCAAAAAATTGTTTTGTTTCGTTTTGATTCGGATTTTGCGTTATATCGTTTTTCGGGATTCTGGTCCGAAAGTCAATTTGTTTCGGGATTTGGAAAAAATTTGTTAGCGCTAGTCTGCACGAATTGTCGTTTTGTTTTCGTTTCGCTCATTCATTGCAGCAAAGTGACATTAAAAAAAAATTTGTCCACATGCAAATATGTGTGCAGACTACCGCTAACGGATTTCTTCTAAAATTTTGTTTTCGGAAATTCGGATTCGTTTTCATTCATCATTTCTCTTATTTGGAAATTTGGATACATCCAAATCTCAGAATAACAAAAACTGGTCCGAAAAACAAATTTTTCCAAAATGAATCTCACATGTCTAGAAAGAGACGCAAAGCACACTGAGAATCCAGGGAGGTGTTGAAAGTGATGGACAGCTCTCACTACATGTGATTTTACAATGGGATTACAATGCTAATATTATAACAGGCTAGTATATGCTGTGACTTTTACAACATCTTTAACTATTGTAAACATAACTTTACCATCACCTCTTTAACATAACATAAAAGCGGGAAACTAGGTAGGATTTTATAAGCAAGTACAATCAAGCAAAAAGGTAAGTAGCAATTTGTAATATTTTTTAAAGTTATGCCATGTGAATTGAAACATGTAACAAATATAAACAATATACTATCTCAAGTGGGCTGCAAAAGTGGAAATACAATTGAAGAATACTTAAAATGGATCTCTATCTTTCCTATGATACCTACCCCTGATCTATAAAGTCCCTAGAATTCCTATAGTAATAACATGCTAAGACCCTAACGCCTGATGGGAACTGCTACATTACACTGTATGTTATCAGATTCAGGAACTGAGACAAAAGAACTAATGCATTATGTTTAGATAGCTAAACGGCACAGCCAGCAGAAACTATAGAAATCTTTTTGTTTAGAAAAGAGTTCTTCTTAAAGTGTTACTTTTAAAAGTTGCAATGTAACAATCATACTTTTAACTGGATCACACCAAAACCACTGAGGAATTCAGGTATATAATCAAGATACAACTAAAAATTATATGTTTTTCTTTACAATTTACAAAGCTATTAGGTTTTGCTTCAAACAGATGGTCGGGATTGTACTCAAAATGTTTTATTATATGGGGAATTTCATTTAATTGGACAGCAGGGTGTAAGAGTGACAAGACTATAATGTGATCATATATTTGTCTTTTTGGTTTGTACGGAAGCAATTTCATTGTCTGATCCAAGGGTTAATTGGATTGCTCCATTGTCTTTGTACTGTATAGACTACACATATATGTTTGATCTTTCAAGGTCCTTCAGGTATTAACTTCTACAAATGTCTTGTAGCCTCTAGTCGACAGATAAGACAGCATATGTAGTAATTACTGTTTTTCTAATGTCTTGACTGTATGTCATGTAGTGAGTATATGTAATGTAAATGTAAAACAGGGGTGCTGCACTACATCTAGAGGTATGATTACGGGTTAGAAGGGAATGCTTTTGTAACAGATACAGTGTAATACATTGCCAGTAGATGGTGGAAGGGTTCTACATTCACAAGGACTTTGTAAAAGACTGCAGCAATGCTTAGGCAGCTGGCTAAGCTATTTTTACCAAACACTTTTTGTGCCAACATCTAGGACAAAATGTTACAATCTTAATGTCTTTGTTTCTGTTCTGACCATCACTGGGATTTTGTGGGTAAATCTAGCATGAATTATGGAGAGCCCCGGTAAAATGAACCCTCTCTTTCTCCACAAGCCCCTGATTATATGCACTGTAAATTATGATAAGGCTTGGTTTTACCATCCACAAATATGTGTTTTGTTGGTCTTTTTTAGGCATGAGAAAACCGGGTAGAAGTTTATTTCAGGCAATACCAGCTTCCAATATGCAAGCTTTTGTTACAAAGGGCATGGATGGGGGGGGCTGCCATGGAGGACGGGTACAAATGCAAAAACGTTTATAAAAAATACCTTTCAAAAGGAAAATTCTTGTAATGTAGTTTGAAGGACAATATAAAAAATGCAAATCTTTTAAATAACATGCTTTGGGGGAACCCCCTGGCAAAGCACCTTTTTCCCATGTTGACGAGGACAAGGGACCTTCTGTCCATGGGTGAGGGGCTAATTGGAATCTGTAAGCCCACTTTAAGAATAAAGGGAGCCCCAG